CTCTCCCCCTCCAGGAATGTCCTGACCAGTCAGCAGGTGGTGGACTTCGTCAGGAACAGACTAGCCGAGGAGACACCTGACGGGGGCAAGAGGACGCTGTCTTCTATCTGTGAAGAGGTGGGTTTAACAATAGCCACAACTCTACAGCCACCTTTCCACTACACTGGGATCACTTCGCAACTGCATAGCACCTGACTGTTGGTTTCATTCTTGTATCTAAACTAAAGGCAACAAAACACACTAAAAGTTTTTATTTTTACCTTCACAGAAGGAAAACATGTTTACCTTCGCAGAGGGAAAAAACATTTTATTTTTGCTAAGTTTCTTCTTCTCCCGTTCCAAACAAATAAAGTCAATTACCTGGACCAGATGTCTGTCACCATGGTAACTGGTGCTGTAGCAGACACCCTGTGGTGTTGGGTTACATTATGTAGCAGAACAGAGTTGGAGAGTCTACTAACCATACAAAGGAATACAGATTTTTATCCATGAAATTTTTGAGTGATTTGTAAAATCTTTTGAGGCTCAGCAGTTGCACAGTGGTCACAGCCTTTAGTGGAAAGGGGGTGTTACAGTTAGGTGTCATGCAAACTTCACCAAGGTATTTCTTGCTTTGTATGATATCTTGTAAGTTTATATATACTGCAGAGCACCGGAAAGAAGGTCTCTTTTTAACCCTTTTGCTCAATTATGTGTGCTTTTTTTATTTTCTGTTGGAACCTAAGACTGTCTAAAAGATGGTATCACCGGGGCTCGAAATTCATTTTTGGGAATAGGTGCACTGGTGCACCATACCTAAAAAATTGGGTGCACAAAACATATTTTGGGTGCACCATATGAAATGAAATAAGTATAATGTCAGCAAAAACTAATACCAGTATGTTTCATTTCTGAAGAACAATAATAATTCTATTATTTTTCTGATACTTGGATGTTAAGAATACGCTGCATACTAATGGCAGTAATGCATTTAACATTTTTTTTATTCTTTGCACCCACAGAAAAAAGTTGGGAGCACAGCTCCAAATTTGGGTGCACTAAGGTGCACATGCACCCAGTATTTTCAACCCTGTATCACTATACAGTGATTGAGTTATAGGTAACTAAATTAGAACACCTAAGATTGTAGCTTTTAATTACTGATGAGACATTATATATCTCTCTTCTCGCAGTTGCTTGATGCTTGTGTCAAGCCGGACACTAGCGGGAGTGAAACTGTAAGAACTTGGATTGACTTTTGCTTGTATCGACTAAAAAACAAACTGTTTCTACTGTTACAGGGCGCGAAATTAACACTGAACATCTTTTCTTTCACATTTGCATCTTTTCAGAGGTTTTTTCATTGAATTTGACCAAAAAAAATCTTACTTTTGTGATGTGTGGTGTAGATGCAAGATGAGAGATTAACTTGATACGAGGCAAAAATGTAAAATTTACGAAAACTTTTAAAAGTAAAGTGACAAAAGTGATGGAAAACTGGGTGAAATTTGGAATCATATTCCATGATTTTTGTTTGATCCACCGTCTTTCAAGTTAATTTCTCACCCTGTTCATGGTTGGTGTAGCACACGTTTTGCATGCTGTGAAAACCCACAGTGCACTGGTGCATGTTGCTGTGAACTCTCATTGGTTGTACTACCTCTGTCATTGGTTGTACTGCCTCTGTCATTGGTCTGTCATTGGTTGTACTACCTCTGTCATTGGTTGTACTGCCTCTGTCATTGGTCTGTCATTGGTTGTACTACCTCTGTCATTGGTTGTACTGCCTCTGTCATTGGTTGTACTGCCTCTGTCATTGGTTGTACTGCCTCTGTCATTGGTTGTAATGCCTCTGTCATTGGTTGTACTACATGTACCTCTGTCATTGGTTGTACTACTTCTGTCATTGGTTGTACTGCCTGTCATTGGTTGTACTACATGTACCTCTGTCATTGGTTGTACTACTGTCATTGGTTGTACTACCTTTGTCATTGGTTGTACTACCTCTCATTGGTTGTACTACCTCTGTCATTGGTTGTACTACCTGTCATTGGTTGTACTACCTCTGTCATTGGTTGTACTACCTCTGTCATTGGTTGTACTACCTCTGTCATTGGTTGTACTACCTCTGTCATTGGTTGTACTACCTCTGTCATTGGTTGTACTACCTTTGTCATTGGTTGTACTGCCTGTCATTGGTTGTACTACCTCTGTCATTGGTTTTACCACCTGTCATTGGTTGTACTACCTCTGTCATTGGTTGTACTACCTCTGTCATTGGTTGTATTGCCTGTCATTGGTTGTACTACCTGTCATTGGTTGTACTACCTATCATTGGTTGTACTGCCTCTGTCATTGGTTTTACCACCTCTGTCATTGGTTGTACTACCTCTGTCATTGGTTGTACTGCCTGTCATTGGTTGTACTGCCTGTCATTGGTTGTACTACCTCTGTCATTGGTTGTACTACCTCTGTCATTGGTTGTACTACCTCTGTCATTGGTTGTACTACCTCTGTCATTGGTTGTACTACCTCTGTCATTGGTTGTACTGCCTCTGTCATTGGTTGTACTGCCTGTCATTGGTTGTACTGCCTCTGTCATTGGTTGTACTACCTCTGTCATTGGTTGTACTGCCTCTGATTGGTTGTACCACCTCTATCATTGGTTGTACTACCTCTGTCATTGGTTGTACTGCCTGTCATTGGTTGTACTACCTCTGTCATTGGTTTAACCACCTCTGTCATTGGTTGTACTACCTCTGTCATTGGTTGTACTGCCTGTCATTGGTTGTACTGCCTCTGTCATTGGTTGTACTGCCTGTCATTGGTTGTACTGCCTCTGTCATTGGTTGTACTGCCTGTCATTGGTTGTACTGCCTGTCACTGGTTGTACTACCTCTGTCATTGGTTGTACTGCCTGTCATTGGTTGTACTGCCTCTGTCATTGGTTGTACTGCCTCTGATTGGTTGTACTGCCTCTGTCATTGGTTGTACTGCCTCTGATTGGTTGTACTGCCTCTGTCATTGGTTGCACTGCCTGTCATTGGTTGCGTGGTTGTAACACATTTCCTCTTTCTAGGGTGCAGAGGGTACACGTGTGCGAGTTATAACAGCTTCTCTACATTTTCTTTTCTTTGGGACAGTGACTGCTTGCCGCTGCTTTCTTGTGCTTCCATTTTTTCTTCTAGAACCTGTATGAATTTCTACCTTAGGATACTGATATACAATAGATTTCCCTGTATACTCTGTGCTGGCAATATTTGCACTTTCTTTCTACGTTGCTCTTCTGAATGTCTTAGTTCGTATCTGAGTGTGGTATCTTCTGTAACATACAGATTGAACAAAGTTAGCAGGACAGGAGACAGGTGTCATTATAGGTGTGGGTGAAAGTTTGTGCTGGCAAGAGGAAAATATGTGTAACCTCTGGTTGATAAACTTTTCGGTGGTCTTGTAACAACTACATGTATTATCATGAAAGGTCATGTGTGTTGGTTGTTACAATTGTTTAGTGTTAAAACTTTTGATCCAACACAAAGAGGTTCTGTCACGTAGGTGATCAGAGGTCAAAAGTTTTAACTGTAACAGTGTTCTCACCAGGATTTTTTCACAGCATAGGGGTCAGGTACAGAAGGGCAACTTTCTGCGGCGCAAGTCTTGCATCGAGCCAAAAAATTTAAAACTCATAACCTCCTGAGACATTATTTCTCATTTATTGAGTGAGAAATTTTGTGAAGTTTTTCTGCAAGATTTCTGAATGTTCTTCTCCAAAATACATACCTATGCTGGTTGAAAGACAGCATAGGGGTCCAAATCACAGCATAGGGGTCCAAATGACAACAAGGGGTCCAAATGACAGCACAGGGGGGCCTCTATGCTCAAAAGGCCTGGCGAGAACACTGGGTAAACAACTACATGTATTTTTCTTTTAAAGGTATGAGTATCTTACTCATGTTGTTGTTGTTTGTTGTTGTTGTTTTTGCAGTTGTTTGACTTGTGTTTAGCGCCGGACACGACGGGCGACGGCACGGGGTGCGACAACATGACCTGCATCATCGTCAAACTCCATGGCAACAGCCAATCAGCAACAGCCAAGCGGCCGCTCGAAAACGTCGAAGAAGCAAGTCAAGCGAAGAAACCTCGACCAGATGAGCCAGACACGTCGAGTGGCTAGAAATTCTTTCCTCCTTCTTCTTTTTCTTCTTTTTTTAAGCCCTTGTATAATGCAGCGATGTTGTAGGTTCTTCCCAGTGGCTGCAGATGGTATTAGTTTGACGTATGGAGTAGTTTGGAGCCAGCTTAGATTTTGTAAAAATTCCCCGATTGGTCTGAAGGAATCTTAATATGAATGTGCTGAAAAATCCTCCTCCCCACCATCCATACATGTAGTTACCTGGGCAGGCACATCTGAGATGTAGTGGATGCAAGTTTTTCTGGTAATGTCCATAGCTGTACTGTTCTAGCCTGGATGACAGCCTTTTTAGTGAGAGAACATTGTCTCTCGGCCGCTTCCCTGCCATAAAGACTGAACTTGCACATATTCTATATAAATCCAGGCCTTTCTTGAAAGTTCATCTGTATTTGGTAGAAATCATTATGAAGCAAGTTTAAACTGTAATTTCCAACACAATAAATTGGACTCACCCAAGTTTTCGACTGTACAACTCCAGTCTTTGTCAAGGAATGAGCCATCCACAGTTGTACAGTCGAAAATTTGGGTGAGTCCAATTTGTTGTGTTCGAAATTACAGTTTAAACTTGCTTCATAAAAATCCAGGCTTTGATTAAACTGCTGCAGGGGTCCCTGACACGGATGGGCAGCAGTCGGCTAGTCCTCACACCACACCACACCTCCAATTCTATCCATCTGTGGTTTGAACGTTTGTTCAGATTTTTAAGAGTCGCACTGATTGGCCAAACCTGATCAAGTGACGGGGTCATTCAATCATCAGAGAGCCTGCACAGCACAGGATGGTTGAGATAGTTTCTTACCCAACATCACCAGATAGAATATCTGCGGCAGGGTTCTAGCTAGCGCAAAGTAGCGTAGGGGCCCCCTGCACTAAAATTTTGACCCCCTACGCTAAATTTCACCCCTTACGCTGATTTTCAATACAGCGTAGGGGCATTGTGACTGTATTTCTTTGTTCAAGAATGCCAGATCAAATGTGAAAAATTACCAATCAAGGATACATTGTACATACCTTAGAAATAACATTTTTTCCCTTTGGGTATCCCTCAAATGGCCTCTTTTTTTAGCTCAAATTTTAAAAAGCTCTGCACTGCGGAAGAAGGGCACATCCCCCCTTCCACCTCAACCCCGCTTTCGGTCACTTCGCTCCCTCGACATGTGGCCAGTGCCACTACGCTAAAATTAAATCCTAGCTAGAACCCTGTGCAGGCTCAGTCTTTTTGGCAGGGCAGCGTGTACTGAAGCTAAAGAGTCTGGCATCCACGACTTGACTGTACAGTTGCTTCCGGCATGCAGAAGTTGATGGGAAAATGCTTGGCTGTACAATGTAAATACCTGACCAGATATGAACCCTCTCTGTTGTGAATAATATACACACCTCTTTACCTCACCACTTAAAACGTTGAATCATCGTACACTGGGTATTGGTGGCTGTAGACAGATTGGACTCGTCCAAATTTTCGACTGTACAACTCCAGTCTTTGTCAAGGAATGAGCAACCCACCGCTTCCGTGACGTCACGCAGATAACACACGTGACTCCGTGAGCAGTAGGTCATAGGTTGCAGAAACCATCCCTCAACAGAGACGGAGGCCACCACAGACTTTCTGCAACCTATGATCCACTGCTCACGGAGTCACGTGTGTTATCTGCGTGACGTCACGGAAGCGGTGGATTGCTCATTCCTTGACAAAGACTGGAGTTGTACAGTCGAAAGTTTGGGTGAGTCCAATTCTTTCAATATAAGACTGTGAAGTTAGAAATTGCTTAGCAATAGTGAGCCGCGGCTTCTACTTCATTTTTGTTTTGCTTGTGTGTACTTCAACATGTGTGTTCCAGTACATGTAATTCCCAGTGTCTCAAATATGACAAGAAAAAGTTGTCGCCTTGATGGGCAGTATCATGCACGCCCCCTGTTCCTTTGCTCTGGCACTGCAGTAAGAGGGATAACTGGCTATGTACTTCCTATGTCCAAACAGCAGCAGATGCCCTACTGTAGTTCAGTGCTCTGGTTAGTGTGTGTGTATCTGTGGTGCTGTCCAGTGCCCCTACTGTCCATGGTAGTCGTCAACACAAGAAGTCAGTAAGAATATTTCAGTCAATGTGGAATTTAAACCAGACAAAAGCAATTTGTATATTGAAAGGGCTTTATTTACATATTACCAACTCTGTGTCCAGTGTTAAGTACAGTCTTGTTCAGGTTGAGCCATTTCAAAAGTACAACTCTCCCCTGTATGAAAGATGTGGAGCTACATGTGTTTCTACCAAGAGAAACTCTGGAATGGGTCAGCTTAGAGATCTGATCTTGTATCAGCATATCAACATATAATTCATTCCTTCATGAAAAGTTCATCTGAGTTGGTAAAGTACATTGTGCAACAATTTAACTGGTCTCCAACTCAAAAAAAAAAAATTGGACTCACCAGACTTTTTAACGAATCTACCATGCCCTCTTCAGCTGTTAGACCGGATTAAAAATATTTCTGGCGAATCCAATTTTATTTTTTTAGTTAGAGAACAGTTTAATTCTTCCATTAATTACTCAGAATGTCCCATTTAACAAAACTTCCTGAGGAAGAAAGTTCAAGTTGAGAGTTATGTTGTAGGTAACTCACGTTGTCTTGCGCACAACAACAACAACCCATAGGTGTGATGAAGTAAACAGGTCAGAGATTTTGAAGTGTCTCTCGCATGTAAGACTTGGTTTCTGCATAGACCCATGTGAGGACAACTTCTAACATACCACGTATAAGAATGTCCTTCATTCAACAGTGGATTTTCACACCCAACTTTTCAATGACTTTTCTGTCACCTTCAGAGCAGTGGTCACTGAAGCGTCAGATATGAAAACCTACTTGTCGAATTAACTTTCTCGTAGAAAATCTTATAAAAATCCTGTTGGAGTTTGATGTTCTTTGCTGCCAGATTGTGTATAGTACGTCTGATGATCAAAGTTGTACATATTTCCACTGTCTCTGTAAAGTAGAAGCTTGGCCTGGAGTAACTGCTGTACATGTAGGAGTGCAATGTTGTTAGCTGTAGCTGTACATGTTGGCCCATCACTTGCTGCTGTTGTAATTTTTTGTTGCCTTGCCCTGCAGTACCAGCAAAGTCCAGTAGGAGGCATTGCTATGGAAAAAAAAAGGCCAGCATGGTCATGTATGTAAACTGCCCCTCCTTTGCTACTGACATGTAGTGATGCGGTCCCTTGTTATTACAGTGAGGATAGAGAAGTTGGTGTGTTTTTGTATGTTAGTGGGAAAACGTCTCCATTTCAAGGCTAACTTTCTGGAACATCCTACCTCCAACCAACCCTATCTTATTGGCAAGACTGCATTTCTTACAAGCTTTCCCATTGGCTGATGGTACGTGTTTCTTTACCAGCTTTCCCATTGGCCGATTGCATGTCACCATGGCAACAGGTTCTGCAGTTTCTTCCTTAAGCTTTTTGTCTCACTTTTAATGACTAAAACTTTGGACTCTACAGGCCAACTTTTAAACAAGACCAAACAGGCATTGCATGAGACAGCTTATTCCACATGGTACCTGCATTATGTTGATTTTTGACGAACCCTTAAAACTCATCGGCTACGAGCAGCAACTTGAGTTTCTATTTTGTCTGCAAACTTAGTAGTAGCAGTAGTGTCAATAACTGAACCATAAGTAACCATGTTGTTTTGATATAGGTATTCTACATTGCATCTCTGCTTGTTTTGCTGCAGTGTGTCCACATTACCCTGGCTGTTTTTAGTAAAAGTGGAGTAAAACCTCCACATTAAGTAGGAAAGAAAATGCATATGGTGCTGGTATACCATTCATTGTACAGACTTCACAAAGACACCACCGGGCACAACGAGGTGCTTGGGGTACCATTGTTTTCAATATTCAGTACGAAAAACAATATACTAGGATAAGATTATGTTATAATTGTTCCACCTCTGACGGTTGTACCTACCTACATGTGATGTTAGAACATCCCGATTATTTTGTTTTATCATTGGATTTGTTTCCTAATAAAATATTTTGAGATGATGGTATATCGATGACTTGTGTCATAATGAGTTACATGTATCATACATTGTATGTGAAAGAGAAGGTTTTGGATACCCTATCCATAGCCTCCACCAGGCCTTCCTTAGGGGTTATGGATAGTAGAATTCGACTCAATAATTAGCCAGGAGAGTATTTTGAACGCGGTTGGACTTGTTAAAGCCTTGTTCATTAGCATGCAAAAGTCTGAAAGGAAACACCGAGCCATTTTTGTACCACGCATGTAAACGGCCCTTCGACTGTAAGCCACAGAAAGAGTAACATTTCTCTTAGCTATGTGGACAATAAGCAAACTCCCCTTGTAATGCTGATGTCACATTTCCGAATCGGGGCCCGGCCCGACAAGTCATATGAAACGAAAAGTGTAATACATATGAAAGACAACAAAGAACATAGAAGTTTTAAAAATATCAATATTGGGAACCATATGGTATTTTATCGATATGGATTGTTGGTTTTTCGAAATGTGACCTCAGTATTAATTATTCTCACTATTGCCAGTGTAGTTATCCGGTTTGTATTTTTACGGCCTATCCGAGAGGACGTCCCTAACCAAAGTTAGGGACTCATTTTCACCTGAGTCGAGTAACAAAATAGATGTGAACTGCCTTTCCTCGGGACACAACCTTCACTGCCAGGGATTCAAACACAGAACTTTGCCAGAGTTTCAGAAGGACATGCAAAAAGCAGCCTATATCCAATAGGGGACGACGCCCGGTAATGCTGAGGTCACAATTCCCACACGGGGCCCGGTCGGGCAGCTTTGGGGAACGAAAAATACGCTACAGAAGACAACAAAACACAGAAAAGTTCTTAATAGCAATCATGGACTCTATTTCTGTATATGAATAGTTAATTTTTCGTTCGTACAAACAGCCCGGTCGGGCCCCGGTTTGGAAATGTGACCTAAGCATAAGTGAGTTGAAAACAGAGATACGAGAAAAGCCGGACAACTTTTTACATTAGCAACGACAAGCCCCGCCCGCCAACAGTGACCCTGTAACAACCCGCCTGCAGTCTGCAGTCGCACGGATGAGTTGTCGCAGTGTTTTCTCCCTGCCCACCTTTTAATATACCCGTGTTTGTGTGTACTGTATCGTGTGTCCAATGTCAAGGCAGTATAGCGCTGGGAACTGGTGAAGTTGATGGCATGATTTGGAGGCGTGCCCGGACTCCGGTCGGCTTTCTCTCCGTGAATAGGCGGGGCGTTCTTGGGTTACTTACGTGGCTCCGATCTCTGGGCCGATTGTGTAGCGTCGTCGTCTGCACGTAGCCACTTTCTATGTAATATGTAATGTTTTTAGTCGTTGATTGCTAGTACTATTCCAGTCATTGTTCGATCTCAGCTAGACAAACATTTGGGGTATCGATATTTGATGTCAATTT